ACACACGTAACCTAAACATATGTACACCCATAATTTGCTGAAATTAAAAAAAAAAAAAAAAAAGAACCAAAGTCTGAACGATGAGTTTTCTGAATTGGTATTGGGGTATTGGGTTTTCTGGAATTTGTTCTTAATTTGATTAGATTTAAAGACATTAATGACTCTGTTTCCAGTAGGAAAGAGAATACTTATAGTCCATAGTGTGATGCAACAATAGAGATACACAATATATCACAGTTGGATATTCCTCATCAAACTCTTATAGGAGACAAAAAAATTGGCTGATCATGCATAATAATATCTTTGAATATTTTTATCAAACTTACAAGATGAGAATGTTGCATCTAATATTGCAGGAAAAAGTGGGAGATATAATGATGAGCTTAGGGATTCAAATTTCAGTTTCAAGCTCCAAATACATGACCTGAAAATTTCTCTTCCTGCCCTGAAAGAGGCATTCATATCCTGTAGTTGCAGGACTGAGGCTAATGAAAACCAAACCTGGACTATTTTCCTGGGAATGGCTGAATTAAAGCACAAATTGAATTATCAGTCTCCCAGGGTGTCTCCTGTTAAAGTTAGGTCATTAATTGGGAAGGACTGGGTTCCTGAATATTGAAATAGGGACATATGGGAATACCCTAATGAAGCTGGGAACATTGATCCCCCCACATATTATGAGTCTTTTTTTTTTTTTTTGCCAGTAAAAGCAGCCTCTCCATGCCCATCTGTGGAGATTAGACCTGCTTTGCCCGAAAAAACTGTATTAGCCTCACCTGATACAGTTGCCTTGTTAAACACTGCTGACTTTTCTCAGAACCCACCCTACTATGCTTCTTTGTTCCTAGACTTACAATTATACTCAAGTCAAAGTAGGTTTCTAAAGTGAGGTACAAAATGTGACACATTAGGAGGTGTGCTACACTCCAAAAGAGATCCTTGATTTTTCTAATTAATACACACACAAATTCAGGCAATACATGAGGGAACAGATATTAAGGGTGTGAGATAATAGTGAAAGGAGCATGAAGTTAGATAAAGCTGAATTTACTGGTATGAGTCCACTTAGCAGAGATTCTGCATGTATGTTGCAGCTTGGGGAGTTATAAAATGCTCTAAAAGTTGGTTTAGTTAGTTGTCTGAAATATAGAGCATAAGATGGCCCACAGTGAATGAACTTGAATTGCATACCTGCCTTTGTTTATTGTAGAGAAAGGGATTATAGGCTTAGGGAGATTGGAGTGTTAAAGTAGATTTTTCATTTAAGACTTTCTCACTCAGATTGGAAGGGTCCAAAGGACAAATTTTTTCACCAAAACTATGAGAAATAAATTTGTAGGGAGAGCCCCAACCTCCTTAAAGGGGATTGTGATCATTCTTCTTTCTAGGCTAAGTTGTACAGTGGGAACTGTTGTCACTGAATTGGGAAACCTAAAGGCAATGGGAGTAATTGGATCCCAGGGTGCCAGGGGCCAAGTGGCAGCATTCAACTATTAAAGACAAGGTGGATGTAGTTACTGTAATGGACAGCAGAGTCAATGAAGCAATCAAAATATTCTGACTCGATCAGACCTATGGCTTTGGCAAGCTGATCATGGTGTTCCTACAAGTAAAATAGATAGGAAGTCTACTAAATTCTCACTTTATCTGTATAAGCAGAAAACTTCTAGGTCAAGTGAATAAAAGTCTAACCTGAATCATAAAAATTAATAGTAAAAACTCCTCAATCAATTCCCAGATTTGAACCAGTTTATAGACCCAGAACCCCTTAAATGAAGAGGAGGCCAGATCCCATTGAAGAAGAACCCTGTACACTATCAAAAATTTATACTATCTATCTTTCTCCCAGCCTTCTCCAAAGAGACCAAAGATTTTTACTAGGATGACTGAGCATTGAGGAAAAGGAAATAATTAGACTTTTCATGGACTACTGGACATTTGCTCTAACGTGAGCTAATTCTAGGAGACCCAAAAATGTCACTGTGGCTTGGCAGTCAAGTAGGGGCTTATAACCCATAGAACTGGTTTAGGGCTCAGTTCTTATAAGAACTCTTCTTGTAAGGTCTCAACTGACCTTATAAGAAGGGGAAGAGATACAAGGAGTGAACACACACAGAAGAAAGGCCACTTGAGGACACCGTGAGAAGGCAGCCATCTGCAATCCAGAAAGAAAGGCTTCACCAGAGATCAATCCTGCTAGCATCTTCATCTTGGACTTCCAGAATCCAAACTGTGAGAAAATAAATTTCTACTGTTTAAGTCACCCAGTCTGTGGTGTTAAGTTATGACAGCCTGGGAAGATTAATACAGTTACAATTTGGTTCACAGATATCTTGAGCATCTTTCCCTTATGCAAGATATAATGGTCCATTTTAGTGATGACATTATGTTGATTGGACCTAATGAGCAAGAAGCAGCAACCACTCTAGACTTGGTGATAAGACATTTAGGTGTCAGAAGATGTAAAATAATTAAAAAAAAATTAATGGGCCTTCTACCTCAGAGAAATTTCTAGAATTCCATTGGTATGGAGCATATTGACATAACCCTTCTAAGGTGAAAGACAAGTTGTTGCCTCTGGCCCCTCACACAACCAAAAAAGAGGCATAACCCCTAGTGGGCCTCTTGGAATTCAAAGGTAACATATTCCTCATTAGGGAGTGTTACACTAGCTGATTTACAGAGCGATACAAAAAGCTGCCAATTTTGGGTGGAGCCCAGAACAGAAGAAGTCTCTGCAACAGATCCAGGTTGCTATACAAGCTGCTCTGCCACTTGAGCCATATGATTCATCAGATCCAATTGTAGTTGAAGTATCAGTGGCAAATACAGATGCTGTTTGATGCCTTTGGCAAGCTCCTATTGGTAAACTGCAGTACAGGACTTTATATTTTGGAGCAAAGCCCTGCCATCCGCTATGGATACGTACTTGTTCATCGAGAAACAGCTCTTGGCATGGTACTTGGCCTTTGTAGAAACTAAATGCTTAACCATGGACAATCAAGTTTTGCCATGAGACCTCAGCTGCCCATAATGAACCAAGTGTTAATTGGTTCACCAAGACAAAACTTTGGGCATATACTGCATTATCAAATGGAAGTGGTATATGTGAAACGTGACCCAAGGAGGTCCTGAAGGTACAAATAAATTACATGAAGAAGTGGCCCAAATCCCCATCATCCCCACATCTGCTACATGACCTACTCTCTCTCAGCCTGACCCTATGTCTTTATGTAAGTTCCCTTATGATCAGTTGGCAGAGGAAGAGAAGATTCAGGCATGGTTTACAGACAGTTCTACATGATGGGCAGGTACCACCCAAGAGTGGTCATCTGCAGCCCTACAGCCCCTTGTTGAAAATCCCTGAAGGATGTGGAAAAGGAAAATATTACCAGTGGGCAGAATTTCAAGCAGTGCACCTGGCTGTTCAGCTTATTTGGAAGGATAAATGAGGAGATGTATGATGGTATACCAATTCATGGGCTATGGGTAATGGATTGAGTGGATAGTCAGAGATTGGAAGGATCATGCTTAGAAAATTGGTGACAAGAAAATTTGGGGAAGAGGTTTGTGAATAGACTTCTCATAATGGGCAAAATATGGGAAGATATTTATGTCCCATGTGAATGTTCAACAAAGGGTGACCTCAGCCGATAAACATTTTAATAATTAAGTGGATAGGATGACCTATTCTTTGAATACCAGTTAGACTCTTTTCCCAGTTTCCCCATCATCACCCAATGGGCTCATGAACCAAGTGGCCATAATGACAGAGATATAGGTTATACATAGGCCCAGAAACCTGGACTTCTACTCACTAAAGCTGACCTGGCTACCACTCCTGCTGAGTGTCATATATGTCAGCAGTGGACACCAACATTGCGTCCTCAATCGGCACCATTCCTGGGTGGTTAGTAAGCTATCTAGTGGCAGGTTGATTAAATTAAACCACTTCCACTATGTAAAGGGCAGCATTTTGTATTTACTGACATAACCACTTATTCATTTTTTTTTCTTTAAACACTTTATTGAAAGAACTTGCGGAAAGCCTAGGGCAGGCGGGGTTTCCCTGGGTGGCCAGAGAAAGGGGAGAGGTTTGATCCGGGTGGGCGGGCAGACGGGTGGAGGGAAGGACAGCTGAGGCTCGGGAGCCAGCTGTCAGCAGCTACTCCCGCTCCGTGACAACCTGCGAGATCGTCGCGATCCCGAATAACTCGCTGAGCAGCACGTTGTTGTGGACGGCCATGTCCAGCAGTGGCGGGGTGATGCGCCTCCCGCCGCTGTTCTGGGCCTCGTTGCCCGCCAGCTCCAGGATCTCGGCCGTCAGGTATTCGAGGACGGCAGCCAGGAATACTGGAGCACAGGAGCTCAGGCGCCGCGCGTAGTGGCCCTCCCGCAGAAGACGCTCTACATGGCTCACCGAGAACACCAGCCGGGCTCTGTCTGTGCGAGAGCGGATCCGCCTCTGACGACGGGACGACCCTCCACGGCTCTGGTTGCCCGGCATGCTGGACGTTGCGTGCGATATCTCCGCCCGGCCTAGCTCGATGCGATGCCTCTCAAGATGCCGGTCCTCTGTGCAGTACTCTGTATCCTAGCGACCACGGACTGGTCCCTGATTGGTCGGGGAGCCAGCTGCGGACACGCACTTCCGGTGACGTCATTGCCTTCCAGGTGGCCCGCGGGCAGCAGGTGGGGGCTCAGAAATAGCAGGCAGTGGGGTGGGAAGATGCTGCTCACCCTCTTCCCTGAACCCTCTCCTTGTGGGAACTCCTGCTTCCTACCGGATGGGAACATGGTGCGAAAGATGGAGGGGTGGGGAGGGGTGGGTACGACTCAGTGCCATTAAGTACATGCACAATGTTGTGCAGCCATCATGACCATCTAGTTGCAAAACATTTTCACCACCCCCAGAAGAAATCCCTGTACCCATTAAGCAGTCACTCCCCATACCCCGCACTCCCTCCCACATACACACGCACACACACACATGCCACCCCCACCCCCACCACCCCCACACTCCCATAGTCCCTGGAAACTGATAACCTGCTTTCTGTCTGTGGAGGTTTGCATATTCTGGAGATCTCCTATAGATGGAATCATACAATAAACGCATGGCCTTTTGTGTCTGGCTGCTTTTGCGTAGCATGATGTTTTCATTATGGTTCATCCATATGCATTCCGTTGTATGAACAGACCACATTTTGTTTATCCACTCATCAGTTGATGGGCAGTTAGGTAATTTCCACCTTTTGGCTATTGTGACTAGTGCTGCCACGAACATTCCTGTATGACTTTTTGTTTGAACACCTGTTTTCAATTATTTTGAGTCTACATCTAGGAGTCAAAGTGCTGGGCCATGTTGTAATTCTATGTTCAACTTATTGAGGAACCAGCAAACTGATTTCCACAGGAGCTGTACCCTTTTGCATTCCCAACAGCAGTGTATGAGGGTCCAGATTTCTCCACATCCTCAACAAAACTTGTTTTCTGTTTACTTCATTTTCTTTTGTTTATAATAACCATCCTAGTGGGTGTGAAGTGCTATCTCATGGTGGTTTTGATTTGCGTTTCCCAAATGGATAATGATGTCACTATGGTTTGAATGTACCCCCCAAATTTTATGTGTTGGAAACTTAATCCCAAAATTCAGATGTTCACTGGAGGTGCAGCCTTTTGGAGACAACTAGGATTAGATAAGGTCATCAGGGTGAGACCTCCACAATGGGAATGGTGGCTTTATGAAAAGAGGAAGAGAGACCTGAACTGATACACACACTCTTACCCTCTCACCATGTGATGCCCTCTGCCACATTATGACACAGCAAGAAGGCCCTCACCAGATGCCAGTGCCCTGCTCTTGGACTTCCTAGCCTCCAGAACTGCAGGAAATAAATTTCTTTTCTTTATAGATTACCCAGTCTCAGGTATTCAGTTACAGTGACAGAAAATGGGCCAAGACATCTTTTCATATGCTTCTTGGCCCTTTGTACATCTGCTTTGGAGGAACGTCTATTCAAGTCCTTGGCCCATTGTTTAATTGGATTGATTGTCTTTTTGCTGTGGACTTCTTATAGACCCTTACCAGATATGTGATTTGCAAATGTTTCTCCCATTCTGTGGGTTGTCCTTTCGCTTTCTGGATAGAATCCTTTGTTGCACAAAATATTTTAATTTGGATGTAGTCCAATTTGTCAAAAGAAAAATCGTTTATAGCTGTGTTTTTGGTGTCATATTGAAGGAACTGCTGCCTAACCCAAGGTCATGGAGATTTACATCTATCTGTTCTTCTGAGAGTTTTATAGTTTCAGCCGTTACATTTAGATCTGTGGTCCATTTTGAGTTTATTTTTTTTACCATGGTGTTAGATAGAGATCCAGGTTCATTCTTTTGAATGTGGCTATCCAGTTGTCCCAGCACCATTCGTTGAAGGGATTATTCTTTTCCCCATTGAATGGCATTGGCACCCTTATTGAAAATCAACTACACATGAATATATGGGTTTATTTCTGAGTCTAAGTTGTATAACATTGACCTAATATATCTATCATGGTGCCAGTACTATACTTTATGGATTACCGTAGCTTTGTAGTAAGTTTTGAAATTGAGAAGTGTGTGTCCTCCAACTTTGTTCTTATTTCTTTGAGATTGTTTTGGCTATCTGGGTCCCTTGCACTTCCATATGAATTTTAGGATCCGCTTGTCAATTTTTACAAAGAAGGCAGGTTGCATTCTAACAGGCATCGCCTTGAATCTGTATATTGTCTTAGAAGTTACGGCCATCTTAACAATATTAAGTGTTCCAATCCACTAACACGGAATGCCTTCCCATATATTTAGTTCTTGTTTGATTTATTCCAGCAATGTCTTGTCATTTTCAGAGCACACGTCTTGCACAACTTTTGTTAAATTTATTCCTCAATATTTTATTCTTTTTGATGCTATTGTAAAAGTAATAATTTTCTTAATCTTATTTTAAGGTTGTTAGGGTATTTCATTGCTAGCGTGTAGAAATACAACTGATTGTTGCCCATTGATCTTGGATCCTACAACTTTCCTGAGCTCGCTTACTGCATATTCAAATAGGGATGAGGTGGGTATCTAAGAACATGCCATTTATGAATAGCGATGGTTTTACTGGTTCTTTCCAATCTGGATGCCTTTTCTTTCTTTTCTTGACTAATTGCCACAAATACAATTTTTTATTTGTCAGAATTTTATTATTATTATTATTATTTTATTACACCATATTATGGGGGTACAAATGTTTAGGTTACATATGGTGGACTTGCCCCTCTCCCCCCTTGAGTCAGAGCTTCAAGCGTGTCCATCCCCTAGATGGTGCAGATCACACCATTATGTATATATATACCCATCCATTCCTCCCCCATCCCATCTTCCCGACACACAACAAATGTTAATCCTATATGTTCACTTAGGTCTTGGTCAGAGAAACCAATTTGCTAGTGAGTACATGTGGTGTTTGTTTTTCCATTGTTGGGATACTTCACTTAGTAGAATGGGTTCCAGCTCTATCCAGGAAAATACAAGAGGGGCTATATCACCGTTGTTTCTTATAGCTGAATGGTAATCCATGGTATACATATACCACATTTTATTAATCCACTCACGTACTGATGGGCACTTGGGTTGTTTCCACATCTTTGCAATTGTGAATTGTGCTGCTATAAGCATTCGGGTGCAGGTGTCTTTTATATAGAATGTCTTTTGTTCTTTTGGGTAGATGGCCAATAATGGGGTTGTTGGATCAAATGGTAGATCTACTTGTATCTCCTTAAGATATCTCCATATTGCTTTCCACAGAGGTTGGACTAGTTTGCAGTCCCACCAGCAGTGTATGAGTGTTCCTATCTCACTGCATCCACGCCAACATTTATTGTTTTGGGACATTTTGATAAAGGCCATTATCACTGGAGATAAGCGATATCTCATTGTGGTTTTGATTTGCATTTCTCTGACGATTAGAGATGTTGAGCATTTTTTCATATGTTTCTTGGCCATTTTCTGTCTTCTTCTGAAAAGTTTCTGTTCATGTCCTTTGCCCACTTTTTGATAGAGTTGCTTGATTTTTTTCTTGCTAATTTTCCTGAGTTCTAAATAGATTCTAGTTATTGCCCTTTATTAGATGTGTAGCATGCAAAAATTTTCTCCCATTCTGTAGGTTGTCTGTTTGCTCTTGTGACAGTTTCTTTGGCTGTACAGAAGCTTTGGAATATGATCAGGTCCCATTTATTTATTTTGGTTGTGGCTGTGATTGCTTTTGGGGTTTTCTTCATAAATTCTTTGCCTAGGTCAATGTCTACAAGAGTATTTCCGATGTCTTCCTCTAGGATTCCAATAGTTTCACACTTTAGGTTTAAGTCTGTTACCCAGCGTGAGTTGATTTTTGTGAGAGGTGAAAGGTGTGGATCCTGTTTCAGTCTTCTGCATGTGGCTAACCAGTTTTCCCAGCACCATTTATTGAATAAGGATTCTTTTCCCCAATGTATGTTTTTGTCTGCTTTGTCAAAGATTAGATGGCTATATGAGGATGGTTTTACACTTGGGTTCTCAGGTTTGTTCCACTAATCAATGTCCCTATTCTTGTGCCAGTACCAAGCTGATTTAATTACTATAACCTTTTAGTATAGCTTGAAGTCTGGTAAATTGATACCTTCCATTTTTTTTTTTTTATTGCCTAGAATTGCTTTTGCTATATGGGGTCTTCTCTGGTTCCATATGAAGCGTAAAACTATTTTTTCTATATCTGTGAAAAATGATGTTGGTATTTTAATAGGGATTGCATTGAATCTGTAGATCATTTTCGGTAGTATACACATTTTAACAATGTTGATTCTGCCAACCCAGGAGCATGGTATGGTTTTCCACCTGTTTATGTCCTCTCCTATTTCCTTCCTCTGTGTTTCTTAGTTCTCCCTGTAGAGGTCTTTTACCTCCTTAGTTAAATATATTCCTAGGTACTTTTTTTCTTTGTTGCTTTGTGAAGGGTATTGAGTCTTGATTTGGTTCTCAGTATGACTGCTGTTGGCATATATGAAAGCCTCTGATTTGTGTGTATTGATTTTATATCCTGAGACTTTACTGAATTCATTTTATCAATTCCAGGAGCCTCTTGGTTGAATCCATGGGGTTTTCTGGATATAATGTCAGGTCATCAGGAAATAGTGAGAGTTTGATCTCTTCTGTTCCCATTCATATGCCTTTAATACCACTCTCTTGCCTGATTGCTGTTGCCAGGACTTCCAGCACTATGTTGAATAGAAGTGGAGATAGTGGGCAACCTTGTCTGGTTCCAGTTCTAAGTGGGAATGCTTTCAA